GCACGATATGCCTACCGAGTATCGTCCACCGCAACCGGTCCGGTTGAATTTTACAAAGAACAAGATACCCAAGGAAAATGGGTCAAATTGACCAATACATCTACCGAGGTATGTGTACTTCTCATGTTTGATCTTTTATTCATACGGTTTGCTACATTGCACGTTTCAACGCTTGATTTTATTGTCTTACAGGATATCACTATTGGCGGNTGGCGGTTGGGAACTAGTACATGAGGTGGATGGAAAAGAAACTCGCTTCAAATTCCACCGCTCTCTCGTTATTAAACCAGGAGGTACCTGCACGGTGAGTGTCTCTGGGAGCCATCAGTTTCTGTATAAACTGCTGGATGTATGACTAAATGAATAATATGCGTTTAGTGTATGGACACATCTGTCATATTCAGTTCGTCAACCAGCTCCTTCAGTTTTTTATTTCTATGAATAAATCTGAAAATTTTGGTTCCTACTAAAATTCACGTTTGTTTATTCAAAATGCTTATTCACCTTTAATGTCGATATTTTTGGTTTTACTGATCGAAACTTGTCTGAGGATTGTACTTGACTGTATATGTGATGTTAATTAATCCGATTTTGGATGCCGATCAGTTTTTATTTGTTATGTAAAGTATAGATTTCGACTTCTCTCAAGTGACTCGCATAACAATAATTGGCAATCTAAGCTCTGAATCACGGATTGACGAACTACATAAGATTTCATCACATTGTCACATCTCTTCGCTTCAAGGCAGATTTTCGTTGAAAAAATGGTCGACACTCAGGAGGCGTTGCCCGCTACGATTCTGTTCCACTTGACTTCAGCCAATTACGTATAGGTTTTTAATTGTAGACTGCTACTGTTTTCCCGGTTCCTTATCACATCTTCCTCATTTGGGCTTTATGTGATCCGGCACTGTAAGCCAGAGTACAGACCGTCGATTGTTTCTACCACACAGCAGGTCCCTCTGAATGAAGTTAATCTCGTCTGCTGCAAATGCAATAAAAATCACCCTCTCCCGAAAGTTTAATATAAGCTCGCGAGGCAGTCCATTATCGGTGATAACAGCATTTGTGCCGCACATAACAGAAAATATCCCATTGAGTCCGACAATTCATCACCTGACTAATCAGTAGTGTATCATGTCTAGAATACAAGCCATATACCGAAAAATAGAGTTCTTTTCGTTGTTGCCTAATAAACCAGTCGCCCTGTTTGCGTTTTGTCCTTCTTAGATCTGGAGCGGTGATTCCGATACCACACACAACCCGCCTTCCGATATCGTGATGAAGAGCAAGTCCTTCCACTCCGGACCAGAAGCGACAATCTCTCTGCTGGATGGAGAGGGTGTGGTATGTGCTTGATTTGACATCTTGAACTTGATTTCCCCTTATCTTTGCAACAATTTCACCTATGGAACTTTTATTCGGAATACGTAAACAATGGATTTCAGCGTTATTTTCAAATACTACTACGATTCTCTAAGGTAAATTTCAACTTATTTGCCCCAGTAGTTAGTGCCTTACTTGTTATAAGTTTTCCTGAAATAGTTCATCATGATTTCCTCAGATCAATAGAACCTGTGTGAAAAATCGTTCGAACCAACGGCTTTCTATTTATCATTATATGACTGTCTCCTGTTGGTAGATAAGTCGAGGTCCATTAACATCGTAGTGATCCATAGCGCTTGTTGGGAATCTGATTTTATTCGAGGCTGCACCTCTTGACCCTGCATATCTATGTGTAACCTGTAAAGCAACTGGGTGTTCCAGAGAGATCGGTAGCTAGAAGTTTGTTTCATCCCCTCTCCCTCAGAAGACTGCATTGAGTAGATTGAACGGGTCCATGAGCAGTGGCCTTATCGGTGGCAAACCACGTTTGTCGCTTAACAGTATTCTCGAAATGCTGGTGCTCTGCCGCGAGAATGCCAGTCGAACATGCCATCACATGCTCAGGCACAGTCGCCACTTGCCCTCTACTGCTTGTTCAGTAAATCTAAGCTCACGTTTTTCACATTTAGCTACTCATTGCGTTGCGGTTTATCTATCAACAACCTAAGGAGGCTCCATATAGCATATGGTTGAGCACTAAATGCGTATCAAGCATCCCGGATCATGACAATAACCACCAGTGGCGCGAATGCATCCTCTCTTGTTTGCAATCCCAAAAATAAACAAAAACGAAAAAAAAAACTCAAAATGGCGTGCAGTAAACAAACGAAAATTGTTACTCCTCGATGTTGACTGTTCTACTTTCCCCGCTTCTGTACCTATATTTTCTCGCTCACCCATGGTGAAGACTGGCGTTAAATAATATAGATAGATGGCACCTCTGAACTAATCTTCACAATTGTCACAATTCATTGTCGCTGGTGAGACAACTTCTTATGGGACTAAAAATGCCTGGTTGAGGTCTTGAATACCCGTAGTCAGGTAATCAAATGACGAATTTTCTCCACGAAAAAGGGCAGAATAATTTAGAATGATGTGATTTACAGCGAGGACAAATTTATGCAACCTGCTTCGGGCTATCCATTTGATCAGCCTGTCAGCATTATCTAGGATGCATACAATAGCAGACAATGTCGAAGATGATTTCGTTGCTATTCCCTTCTCGTGAAACGCGGGAACCTTAAATAAAATGATGGTTCTCGGACAGCTGTCACAGACGAGGAGTCGCACTGTTACTTCTCTAAGGAAATGATGTAATCCGTTAAGTTTGACATTTTTTAGGTATACATGGTGTAGCGAACAACAAGATAGATGAAACACTTCCACAGTAATTTATTGTTCCGCAGTAAAAACTGCCAGCTAGAGCCCTTCAAGTAAGGAACCATATGTTGACTGTGCGCACAGTTTTTATTTCAGAGAAAGATGCTGAACATGACTCGCGAGCATCCTGGTGTCATCTTAAGTGCTCCCAATGAATAAATGTTTTGGGTTTCAGAGTTCCTCGACCTTGAGTGATCCAGCATAATTAGCACTGAAATTTTTGTTTTTATTTACTATATTGCTTTTTTATGCACTTTGAAGTGTGCACAGAATTCAGAGTCTCCTTTCATCGATGATATTATCTTGTATCGCGGTACACAATACCCACTCGGCACATTAGACTTGACTTGTGTTCTCCTTCTGCTTCGCAGAGCTTCCATCAGTACCGAACTCCTTAGGCTTCCACACAATTTCCAATGTCTATTATATTACTTTTGCAGGAACAAGCTAAATGCACGGTCAAACGTGAGCGTGTTCGTGCCAGTGGTGTCAGCTTCACTCGGCGGCCCGGTTATAGGACGCAACAAGATGAGGTAAGTTACTTGCGTATCATTCATCTATCCTTATTTATTGTTCTTTTCTTTCAATATACCAGAAGTTCAGAGGGCGAGGCTATAGTTATATTGTGTAGGCGATTGAGAATTGTCGAAGTCGTAGCATTCTGAACTATATCAGAATAGTGAATCACAATTTAAACAGCTCGAGAGTGAGACCAATTCAAAAATGCACGATCTCAGTATGATAATCCCAATTTCCGTGTGAAACCATTTATGTCCAGGTTTTTGTAAGTATGGTAAAGAAAGCGGTGAGTGAAATCAAATGCAGACACTGATGCTAACTATCTTTTCGTGAGATTCAGTTGTCAAATGGGCAAAGAAGTTTCCAATCAAAAGGAGTTCATAAAAACCGATTTAGTGCAAAGCAACAATTTTTAGCTATCAGTGAGGCAGAAGATGCTAAAGAATGCTTTCTTTGTGATGAATATTATTACATCGCGTTTCATCTAAACTCACTTGATCATTCATTACATAATGCGATTACTGGGTTAGGAATTGGTTTGGCGGCGCCAACGACGCGAGGTTGATCTCGTGCGCATAACACCACTACACGCGTGATTAAGTCACGGTTTCGGGGGCATTGCAGTTTATCCTACTCTGGGCATCTGGTTTGGTAGGCGTTGGAGAACATTCCCTCGGTAAGACGGAAAGCGGTAATGCAAAGATTACGAGTAGAATAGCCTTCATTCCAGAAAAAGTCAGGTTATCAAAAGCACCACACCGATCGAACACGCCGCTGAATACCGGCAGAGTGGAGTTGGAATAGGTATGAATGAGGTAACGGAAAGTATAACAAAGTTGGAATGGAAATGGTGTGATGCTTAAAAGAGTGGATAAATAAAGAAGAAGCAACAGTTTTTAAGGAAAGGCATCCTTATATACGTGCACATAGGCGTGGGAGAAATTGGTTATAAAGATCTATTTACATCGGATTTAAGAGTGCAGAACATATTTATGAAACAAGCCGTGTCTGTGGTTTGATCGGGGATAGCGCCCACCGATACATTGATCGTCTGCAATATACATGTTTCGATCCAAAGCGCGAAAATTGGTAACTAAGATGGTCAAGTGAATAGACGACATTACGGGCTGGATGCACATCGTAATCCGTTCCAGTTCCGGCAGCTTCCCTCATCGGTTTGAGGTGGTGACAGTACAAACGATCTATGCGTAATCTTGAGTTGGAGCAGAAAATAATAATTTATTTTTGTAAATTCAGTTTGCTGTCGTTTCAAACTTATTTTTCTATTGCCAAATAATGTACTCCTCATTCCTTTCACCCTCAGAAATGCATGCTTATGTGAATCAGTCACCCGCCGCGACGAAGTACGAGATATGCATAAATTTTGGCTACATTTCAAATTGTGGTTTCCCTTCTGCATACCTATTCAGCATTTTTCTTGAATTTTGCTCTGTTCTGAACCTGTGACTCGTGTGTTAGCGTTATTTTTGCATATCTGGCGCCACTCCTATCCTCTGTGCACACTGGACCTTGTCCACATCCCTAGCTCGTTTTTGGATTATACCTTATTTTTATCATTGTTGTTGTTATTGTCTGTCTTCGTCCGAAAGATGTTTGACACCTATCCCGGTTGCGCACTGACTAGGCAGTTGTAAAAGTGTACTGAACGAGACCTGCAATTTTTCATTTCGCTATCCCATTTTTCTGTTCGTCCTGAAAGTATTTTCTTTCACATGGACACTATCTTTACCATTCTCGCCCGTGACTTTCCTCTGTCGCATTCTTTTATCTGCTGTTATTTAGTATCGCTTTGAAGATACCTGATCGATCGCTTCATCTTTATCGACCCAATGCTTTTCATGTATGATGTTCCATCTACCTACGGATATAGTATATATATAAATATATATATTTGTGTAATTTGGTCATTCTGCCTTCCATTTCCATCCCGTGGCGGGATCGGGATATGAAACCCAAATAAATATGCCCTTCTAACGGCATCCGTCATTGTAACATGTAACAAAAGCATCATCAATGATTATTCCATTCCATCTAGTAGTATTGCACTCGAAAAGGTAGTCTGCATTGCGTGAACTCCTTAAGAGAAGCTTCCAGTTGGAAACTAATCTTCAAAGCAAATTACTTCGAAGGTGAAATTCGTTGCCAGAATTTGGTTTCATTCGAAAAATCACCCGTACTATTGGCTCAGTTTAAGCTTTATTCGGTTCAGTTGAGTGAACGGGAACGGTTCTGAAATTTTTTATCACGCAGCTAGTTCTTAGTTAACGAGACTGGGTGTGCGTTTGCGCAACCGTTACCTCGTATGCGGATGATATCTTCATCTTGATCGAAACGCAGCAATAGCGCGCAGGCACCAGTTTTACGTCCTGGATGCAGAACTCACAAGATGCCACGGAATCGTGGGAAAATGCTCTGGTTACCGCAAACCTACTTAGACTGGGCAGCACCCATTTTACCAGTTTTGTGTATGTGGGTGGTGGTGGCTCAGTGGTTTAGTCGCTGTCACCGGCGTGCTTTGGACCCTATGGTTTGAGCCTCGCCACCCGACTTTGGTGGTAGGCAGCTCTGCTATCGTCCGGTTCAATACCACGCCTAACCTATCGGGGCCTTATGTGGTTCGCCACTCCAAGTTCCGGGGCTTAGTTAACCGATTTCAACCACTGAACAGCAGGTCTTCGTAACTGGGGTTTACCCCGTCTGCTGTTCATCACACCTAGGTGTGCGATAAAAAAATCTGAAACTTGAGAGAAACCTGGTCCAAACCCTTGGGTACCGTGTAAGGAGAATTTGTTCAAGACACCGTCCACCGCAGGAACTGGAAAATATAATGCAAACACTGACTACGGTCGTGGAGAACGATTTGTTGTGAGGCGGTCTCTGAATGCACTGCTGAAAGCAGTTAAAAAAAGACCTCTTCATGAGACTTACTTTTAAAGGAGATTATAAGTGCAAGCTACCTAGACGCCGTTTGGAAAAGGCGATCGCTGGTGCTTTCCTTGCTGCAAAGCTACGTACTCAGTTCACAAGCTGACTTATGATCTCTATAAACTTAGAGATACATTACCTATCCTCTCATCTATAATCGTTTACTCATTTCGTTAATCATGTTCGGGAAGTTATGTAAGAAGAACGATCAGACAGTTATCTCAAAGAATTAAGAAACAAACAGTTATATATGTGTATATAACTGTATTGGCTCGAAGAAGAAGTTATCGAAAACAAGCTTTGTTCGTTACGGCTTCCTTAATGTCGCACTGCGTATTCATTGAATTGCGCAATCGCGAAGGGAAACTGGTTATCAGAGAGCTAAGTAGTTGTTTGCGCTTCAAAACCCGACTTGCAGAGGCCAAGACGACGATAAAATTCCAAACCAAAAGCGAAGCCTGGCGAATAACTTAGCTCAACCACTAAGCGAACTATTCCAACAAATGTTGAACAACAATGCTCCCACAAACATGGAAACAAGGGATAATTTCTCCGAAATACAAGGGCGGTTGTCGTAGCGACCCAGATAACTACCGCCCCGTTACTCTCCTCCCCGTATTATCCAAAGTCATGGAATCCATTGTTGCGGATAATGTGATGGGTCACTTGGATAAACACGTGTTATCCCCTGCTCAATATGGGTTTCGTCGCAGGCGGTAGAGTACCACTAATCTGCTTCTGGCCGGAGAAGAGTGAACAAAAGCGGCTGATCACGGTGATGCAGTGGATGTTGTGTACCTCGACTTCTCCAAAGCATTCGATCGAATGAACCACAAAATACTGCTGAGGAAACTACACACTTATGGATTTCGGGGACTTATACTGGGTTGGATAGAAGAATTTCGTCGACAATGCACTATGGCAGTTCGGGGTCACTTTCTGATCCCATCAGCATAGCACGAAGAGTTCCACGGATTCGTGCTGGGCCCTCAACTTTTCCTTGTTTTTATAAACGACCTAACAGACATTCTGGAGCCAGAAACATTTATGTTCATAGACGATTCAAAAGTATGGAGAACGGGGATAAAACCAGAGAACTCGCTAGAACTCCAAAGAACACTTAAGGCTGCCTATCAATGGTCGATCGAAAACGATGTGGAATTTACTGCATCAAAATGTACGGTCGTATTCCTTTGATACAAAACTCGGTTTCCGTATTTCCTGGGAGATCAACAACTTCCGTACGTCTCGAATGAGAAGAATCTCGGCGTCATTGTTCAAGGCTGTTCTTGAAACTGCTCCCGGGAGTCGTTTACCGCTGTTGATTTGCTAAAACGAGTATTCAACAAATTTGAACCTACGCTGTTCGCACGATTGTTATCAGCCTACATTCGACCCCACATTGAGTACGTCATTCAAACATGGAATTCATGGCTGCAACGCGATCGGAAGATTCTGGAACGTCCACAAAGAATGGCCACCAAAACGGTCAAGGGCCTGCATTCCAAGATTTATGTGGAAAGACTGGAATCACTGCAACTGTACTCCACACAGTATCGCTGCATTCGAGGGCACTTGATCTTGATTTGTCAAATAATGCAGGTCCCAGATCATCCATGTCGTTCACTCTTTGCCTTATTGACCAGCACTCACCTGAGGGGGCACTCATGCAAATTAGTACTCCAAAATTACCGACTAAAATGTCGGCGTCATGCATTCGCCCTCAGAGTGTGCATTACTTGGAATTCTCTACCACCACAAGTTGTTTCTGCGCCCACAATTGATCCATTCAAGCACAAACTGGATGAATCTCTGAAAAGGCTTAAATTTCAACATACGTAGAAGTGCACGAAACAAGGACAAATTGTGACATTCGTCTGTTTTGTATGAACTGTGAGCCGATTCATCTGTGCTAAACCCTATGGGATTAGAAAAGCAACCACTTGTAAGTATTTCCCATAATAAAACTTTGGCTTTGAAGTTTCATTTCAATGACTTGATCTCCGCAGACTGTTCTTATATTCTGAACAACTGGACACTTCACATTCAGCCGCACCGTGGAAACAGATTAACAAGCTTGATAATTGATTTCGAAAAATTCATCTTCAAAGTACATTATCTTGTTCGACGAAAATGCTTTCAGGGGACGTAAAAAATATCTGTTGTGAACAAAGATGAACGGGAAAATACTTTTGAAATTCCAAACGGCAGGTATCGTGTGGCTGGTGTCGCTGACTTTCCACTGTGGTTCTGGCTTATCATATTCAACTTGTTGACAGTTTCATCTAATGGGTTAAAGATAGGGTGGCAGTGGATGCAAACTTGCATGCCCGGGCATATTGTTGACCACATTCGCTCAGTCATGTATGGGTTCATTGTAGTCCCGTGTAGTAGTCTCCGTTGCTGCGAAACAGTCGCAAAATGAAGCATGAAATCGCACCAGCAACCGTAGGCTGGAAGCTCCCGTCACCGAGACGCAGGAAAAGATCGCAGAAGTAACGGTACTTTTAATGAGGGAAATCAATGGATATAAAATATAAACATTGGTCAAAAGGATACCACCTAATCGCCGTTGTTGTTCTTCGATTCACGGCTTCTGTGTGAACGGTATGGTAACTGATTGGTCGATACTGTTAGCCAAATGTCCAGAAACTGGAACGCGTAGCCGCCTGACCGGAGTCACTTCGGAGGATTGACCAACCACATCTCACAATTAATGGGAATATTTTTTAAGAAAATTGTTGAAACGATACCAATTTAATCATGAATGACTTTCATAGTGCAGTATTCCACCAGTTGAAATACATTCCACAACATCAGCAGTTCCTTTAAGTGAAGGAAGTGATCGAACACAAGATTCATCCACTGGATCGTTTTCACCGTGTAGATGAATGTGACGTGTCAGTTCTCAGAATGTGGTCGGGCCGTCAAACTGAGACGTATAATAGAAAACAAACAAGCTCAGCTGGAATGTGGTCCACGACACGGCATTAAGATCACCCATTGCTAGCTTTACATTGCACCCGTAATGCCATCGGTCGGCGACCATTTTCATAGTACTATTTTTAATCGATGGCCTGTACAGTCTGGCTGAGTGCTAATCAGCAAACAAATTAGTACCAAAACCAAAACCATGAGCGATGGCTGAAAGCTCATGAACAAATGATAAATTACCACGGTTAACACCGATTATTTTCTTGAAAAAGTATTAATTTAAATCTAAGAAGCTCTTTGGAGTGGGGAGAGTTGTGGTGAGTCAACTGTAATGATCGTAGTAGTAGTAGTAGTAGAAACTCGGAACACAAACCACGCAATAGGAATCACAGGACACGAATCAAGGATCAGCTATCACGGACTGGACCGCAATGGCACTAGCACGCAATGTCCCACGTAACTGAGACGCAAGGAAAAGACCACAGGATTGGCATTTCGTAGTTCGTTTATTGGAAGAAATGAGGGCGGTTAAATAATATGTACAAAATAAGATCATTGGTTATCCAGGCTTACACCAATCGCATTACATAATTCTGCTTCTGTCTGGACTGCACTTTCTCGGATTGGCTGGCACGATCTGCCTGAAGCAGTCAAGGAATGGCCTTATCCACCTCGAGAAGTGGATATTCATCAACCACATAACCACAGTGTACCGACAAAAAGTGAAAAAATATAATACAGCAATTACAGGACTTGAAAAAGGACAGCAACATCAGAAACCAATGGCATACCCGGGTGTTTATGATTGGTTTAATTTTGCGCAGATTTCCTGCAACGAGTTCATAGTTTGTTAGAAATCTGGCGGGATAAGGGACAATAAACCGCCTGTAAGGTAATGTGTCACCACATACTGTACCAGATGTTCCCGTGGTATGGAACTACAGACTGATAAAAATTTGAGAGATCGGGAAATGAGTTTGAGGTCCTTTCTAAAAATAACAGGGGACCCATAAAGCCAGTGGGGCAAAATGCACGCAAAAACAAAACGCCTTGTGAGATGGTTGGGGATGGAAAGTGATTTTAAACGTAACAAAACGCGAGCCTCCTGACCTTCGGAAAAACGTCATAACGTGGTCAGACCAGGTGAGGTTACGCTTGAAAATAACACCCAGGTATATGATAGACGGTTTTCGCTCCATCTGATCACTGAGGCGGGCTGGCGTTTGATAATTCATCGTACTTTTGCCCTTTCAAAAAAGAAAAAGTTACGTCATTACATTCTGGGGGGTTCGTGCGGAGGTTCGTTTGTTGAGACCACTCAACTATTTCCGATACGTCCTCTTGTAGAGTGGTTTGAAATGATGAGTTGGGGTAGGACAGTCCGAATATTATATTGTCTTCATACTTAACGAGAAGAGAAGAATTGCGCATAGGTATAGAGGAAATGAGCAGTGAGACGTACGCGCGTCATTGACATCACCTTTGAAATTTGATTGATCGCAGTTGTCCAAAAATTGTAACGCGCCGCTCCAGGGTAGGCGTCATCTCATAGGCCTGGATCACCACATCAAACTTCGCAGATGACGCCAACCAAGAGCCTACGCATTACAATTTCTGGACAACGAACCACAGGCCAATCGTGTCGACCAATCAGAAGTCTTTCGGGACAGACAGAAGTTGTATGACGTCAAAGTATGCGATTGGTGAATACCTGGATAATCAATAAACTTCCTTTGTACATGTTATTCAATCTCACTGATTTCTTCTCCTTCTACCTTCCAGATATTACTCCCTCGTGAAGAGTCGGAAGAAGCTTTGCACTCGCAGACGAATCGGTCTACAGACGGAAC